CATTAATATACTGCAACAACATGGGAATAGAGCAGCTGCGAGAGAATTCAACATTAATGAATCAATGGTACGGAAGTAGACAAGGCAAGAAGAATGAGTTAAGTAAAGTTTGAGTTATCTGACTGTTTTGTTTCCCTTAATGCGCCTTATAATCCGGTGCGCCTCATGGTCTGAAAAATATGGTAATTTTTAAGGTTGCAGCAGCGTGGCGTTCAGAGTTCCGCTGTTTAAGGGTCAACATCAGGTTGTAGCGTGTAACGGATAGTAAACATTAACATCATCTAACACTTAGCAGGTATTTTGTTTGTCTCTGGGAATATTGTGATGTCATTATCTCTTTTGCTTTCATGAATGATGCTTCAATGTATCCTCTGCTAAATGAGGTAAGTAAGGAAGCACTGAAGCTCCTTTCCTTTGTGTTTAGAGAGTTCATCCATCTCTGATGATGGCTCCACTTCTGTTGCCTTCCTGAGGAAATCTGCCTGTTTGACTGCAGTGTGAATTAAAATTTCATTGGCAGAGCTTCCATCTTTTGTTTAGTTATTAACCTTCAGACACTGTGTCTGCAGAAAAGCTTGATTATAGCCATGTGCGAGGAACATTCACGTAGGTGCGGAGACTGCAATTTTCTTGTCCAATTTCATTTTTGTTTCTGGTGATGCAAACATTATATGAGTAGAATCTACTTTTATGTTCAAAACGTTGTTACTTTAACCTCCTAAGACCCGAACTCTTTCACGACATGTATTTTTAATTTATCTTTATATTTGGGTATATTGGGGCCTGATGAATGTAAAAACAAAGTTGTTTTTTGTTTTTTTTACCTTATTTTTGTTTTTAAGAAAAATAAGAGCCACATATGACGATATTAGTTTCAAATTTTAATAGAACAGTGGCAGTATAATGTCCTCGTAAGTGGATATCAGGCCCATGTAGAGCAAAATTGAGTATTTTAGTCTAAATAACCCAAAATGTGATGTCCACATATGTGGACGCCAGGACCTAGGAGGTTAATAACAAAAGAAATGGCTGAACTTTACAATTTCCCCAAATAAAACATCCAAATTTGAGGTTTTTCACCCTGTAAAGCCTGAACAATTAAATAAATGCCAAAAAACCTGTTTGTTGAACCTTTTTACTAGGAAAAAAAAGGAAAATAAATATCATTTTGCAGCTACAAATTTTAATTTAAATGAATAATTTTTGCTATTTGTGCAGATGGTTTCTTAAAAGTTTTATTTGGGTTTTTCACAGAACTTC